ATTTAATTATTTTTTGCATTTTCATTATTGTTATCATATATTTAAATATTTTTTTTACACATTTTTATTTACATTATTTTAGATTATTATTACATTGTACATTATTTATTTACTTAGTTACTTACATTATACATTATTATTATCATGTATTTGTTTATTTTTTTACCCATTTTTTTTTCCTTTATTTAGATTATTTTTACATTATACATTATTTATTTACTTAGTTAGTTGCATTATACATTGCATTGTTATTATCATATATTTAAATTATTTTATCATGACCCATCTTCAATATCATTTATATTTATTACTTAGGTTATTTTTACTACAACATGTGTTATTTTTTTATTCGGTCGCTGGTATAGGGGTAGAATTTAGCCTTTACTATCACAGTTGGACCGGAAAATTTAACGTGGCAAGTAAAATCTCTAGCATTATACCAAGGAGTGAAGAAAAATCTGCGAAGAAGTAAGTATTTTGTGTTGCAGAAATAGAATTTTTATTTGTAATTTTTAAATTATTAAATTTCACCCACACCGCAGGCGAGAGTGGCGGCGACATCGCCTGCGTGTGCAAGAAATCAACGCCATTGCAGACGGACACAGACGACGTCTGCAGGCCGCTGCAGATATCGTCTGTGACTCAGGCGACTCGTGACTGCCACACAACAGGCGAACGCAGACGACGTCTGTAGGCCGCTGTAGATATCGTCTGTGACTCAGGCGACTCGTGACTGCCACACAACAGAAGAACGCAGGCGACGTCTGCAGGCCGCTGTAGATATCGTCTGTGACTATAACGACTCGTGACTGCCACACAACAGACGAACGCAGGCGACGTCTGCAGGTTGCCGTAGATATCGTCTGTGACTCAGGCGACTCGTAGGCGACTCGTTACTGGCTGACTGCCACACAACAGACGAACGCAGGCGACGTCTGCAGGCAGCTGTAGATATCGTCTGTGACTCAGGCGACTCGTGACTGGCTGACTGCCACACAACAGACGAACGCAGGCGACGTCTGCAGGCCGCCGTAGATATCGTCTGTGACTCAGGCGACTCGTGACTGCCACACAGCAGACGAACGCAGGCGACGTCTGCAGGCCGCCGTAGATATCGTCTGTGACTCAGGTGACTCGTGACTGCCACACAACAGACGAACGCAGGCGACGTCTGCAGGCCGCTATAGATATCGTCTGTGACTCAGGCGACTCGTGACTGCCACACAACAGACGAACGCAGGCGACGTCTGCAGGCCGCTGTAGATATCGTCTGCGACTCAGGCGACTCGTGACTGCCACACAACAGACGAACGCAGGCGACGTCTGCAGGCCGCTGCAGATATCGCCTGTGGCTATAATATTTCTGTGAATGAATGATATGAATGTGAATGTGGTGGAATGTTTAAAGGTAAACGCTGGTGAAAATGGTAGCGACTGTCGCCTGCCTTCACTAACTGTTTTTGCGAGAAGAGTAAAAGTTTATCTACGAAATTTTGAGACGGATATTAATCTTAATTATTAATTATTCAGCGTTGGCAAGCGCTCTACACAATTTATTATTTTGAAAATGGATTTTTAGTCTCAATAGTCACGAATCAGCGATTGTATGTAGTGATATAAGGTTTGAAATTATCGCTTCTATTCACCCGCTAGAGATTGGAATCAGTATTATTTTAGCAATAATTTTGAATGGTTACTGCCGGGAACTTATCATTCAAATTGTCTCATGGAGGCTGTGAGTTTTACAACGACGAATGATTAAAACGATTCAGTTGCTTGATGACCGAGCGTTGAACGATGATCTTTAATTTAACGACATTTTCATGCTCGCCTAATTGATTATATATTGCGAATTGATTGATTAATCAATTGATTGATTGATCAATTTTAATTGATTATAAATCCTTTCGTGGGTTAATTCTTGTTCCATACGAAATGGTAGATAGTCGATTCTATGACTCAGAAATATTGTTATTTTGTCTAAATGTATAATAAGTATCACTTATTTTGCAGTTTAATTGTGCAGCCTACACTTTACTCTACAGAAGGCGACATACAACACAGGTTAAGAAAACATATATTACAAAACATTCGAGTATGAACTTATCAACTAAATCAAGAGAACAATCCACCTGGATAAACTCGTAATAAAAGAACAATTTTTTTCTTTTGGTTAATTGCGTATATTAAAGTAGTTAATAGTAGGTACCGATTTATACAGAATCTATGTGGGAATTGTACACATGATACTTTGGAGAAAATTTTAGAGATTTATATTGCTTTGGCCCTAAATATACTTCCTTGTTAGTCTTTTGATATCAAATTTTAAATAAACGCTTTTTGTCTCACATCTTCATCCTGAATTAATTATAACCAGAACATATATAATATATCATGCTCAGCTAATTACCCTCTTAAATCCTAATGAAACAATACTATTCTGTACATTTACCAACTAAACTGAAATTAAATACTCAGCCGGACTGGATTAAAATAAGTATTCTGAGTTTATGGCAAAGCTGAGAATTTTCAGGTATGACTGCATATTGATTCTAGTACATATATACGAGCGCAGCGCGCGAACTAGTCATTTACTAGTCGCCAGGCTATATACGTACGAGGAGCGTCCATTGGACGAAACCATTATATTCTAAATGATATACATAAATAGTTGAGTACATTTGAGGGGATATTTGTGCGATATACGAAGAGTTATTGCAGGACTAAATAGTGATCATCAGTAAAAATAATTCGACGTAGAATCATTCGTTGTAATGACAAGACTTAGCTCGTTGAAAGATGTCAGCGCGTAAGCGGCCTGCTGGACGCTATAAAGAAGAAAATATTTAGATGATTTGTTTGCAATTGTTTGACATTTGAGAGAAGAACCTAATTAGAAAACATTGTAGAATGCCGACCATAACACACAAAAACCATGTGAATTTATTAACCTGGCAGATATACATCAATTACTCAAGTTTTAGTGACCATTTAGTGACCAATAACATGAAAATTTTCTGTGGCCTAAACTCGCGAACGCAATAAATAGAAATTTAATGTTCTTTAAGAAACGAATTACACAGACGACATATAATATCATCTTGTACACAAAAATTGAAAATGTAAACTATTTTCTTGACTGAGTTAGGTTTATATCATAACTGAAATAGCAAGAATTGTTCACTGGAAACCAAACTTAGAAATGACTCAACAGGGATTCATTCAACAAAATGTATAAAATATAAAAATGAATGAACGCTCGTCTATAGGAGCTATGTCCTGGCATGGAAAGTTCCTTATCATATTTGCAAAAGGCAATATCATACTATTAATTTTCTATTAAAATATAATTAATTAACTTTTTCGAAGGCTAACAAATTTTTATTTAGGTAACATTTATTCACTATATCATTGAAAAAAACGCATCAGCGTTATAGTTTTAGCAAACTCTTTTTGAATAAATATCGATCATTTATGAAGACTACAATTTTCTTGCGAAACATCGCCGTTGCAACATTAGATGCCTGGGGCGCCTATATAGAATGACCCAAAAAAAACTTCAGTGAATTTTCAGTATTCAGTAATTCGAATACGTACGAGGAATTACATAGAAAAGCTCCCAGTATAAATCCAGCAATATTTTTTGCACTTCTCCAAAAGAATTTGCTGTTAAAGCAAAAAAAAATTATGACAACCAGCAGAAGTGTCTTTTGCAAATGAAATATGCCGTACAACCTGACTATACGAGATGTTGTGTTTAGAAGCGATAATATGACATGACTTAAAATAGAAGGAAACCTATATATAGGTTTTCGTTTATGTATTTAGTTTAGATCATTATTTATCTGTAATCAAGTTACTGTCCGTGCGGACGGCTACTGTTGTTATATATCGCACTCATACTCCTGCTATTTTATTCTGAATATATATTTTGAATGTTTTAGGGTGGTTTATGGGTATATTTTCAATCAAAACCAGTGAAAAATTGTTTAAAAATGTCAACTATTTATATTAGTTTCATTTGAAGTTCAAATGCAATATATCACATTCATGTTGCCATTCTGAATTATATGTAAGAAATGAAGTTATGTAAAATTAGACCATTTAGATTACTATACTACAACAATCCATTAGAATAAAACACTCGCCCAGTCAGTCAAAAAAATCTGCTCTTGTCACCAGCGTTGTGAAGCTCTTTGGAAGATGAGGCTGAGGAAATTGAAAACAGCGATTTTCAGTTAGTATAAACATAAGTGAATAATATTCTTTCAATCAAATACAGCTGAAATGGGCAGTCAATGGATTCACCAAGCTTCATTTGAGAAATAAAGTTTGAGTATTTCATAATATTGAATAATTTTCGAAGGCATTAAGCGTCATCTATATCGCTCAGTCAATTTTACGAAGAATTTGTCAAGGAAGATGATCCGTTTTCTCTCACTGAAGTTACATGACCAGCATAGCACGTTATTCAATTACTTCATTTTTATTTGCAGAAAAATATTGTAATAAATGCATCCATTTGATATTCTACACTACCAAAGTCTGTAAAACATTGGGCATTGACACTTCACATATACGAGATTCAGACGTCTACAAATAAATACTTGGCACTTCACCACCATTTATTAAGAGCTTGTAACCACCCTGCACTCTTGGGATTAGATTCTGGGCATTAATAACGATGTTATTTCGGATTGAGTAGATCGCGATTTTAAGTTGCCAGCCTCCATTTGATATGATTTATTCCTCAAAAACGTCAACTTTATAGGCTGGTTGACTTACTATTGAAAAATGTTCGAGAATCTAACCCCGTTGACGTTCATGCATAAGTGCAAGAAACCAAATAAAGTACGGCAGTCGGCGGCACACAAAATCTAGCCTAGGTTTTTGTACAAGGCTTAGAGGTTTCAATTGGTCATCGCTGCTCCGGTGGGAATGCGATGCTTGGTTCTGCTCTCCATGAATTGGGCGATGCGGCCGTTGGCTTCTGAAGGATNGTACAAGGCTTAGAGGTTTCAATTGGTCATCGTTGCTCCGGTGGGAATGCGATGCTTGGTTCTGCTCTCCATGAATTGGGCGATGCGGCCGTTGGCTTCTGAAGGATGGCTGGGGCCGTTGGAGATGAGGATGTTCTTGCTGGACGAGAACGAGTCCTCCGAGTCCTTGGCCTTTACAGGAGCGGCAGATGAAGGTTTCGGCTGCGCGACAGGAATAATAATTTAACAATTAGTAAAATCTTCCGGGTGGTTGTTTGCGCTTTAGAACATCCATAATAATTGACTTCATATTGATTTAATTACCTGGTTGGTAGGAGGAAACTGTCGGAAAAATGATTTACTGAAGGAAATGAGTTTTTAGATACATTAGAATTAAATGATCAGTACCGGGTATTATTCAATTAATTTATCATTTGTGCATATAGCTAACGCGACAGAGATAATATAATACGTACAGCGCAAGGTAAATGGTGAAGCAGAGCACTTTATTTTTCAGCTTTCACATGCACAAAAATATATATAGCAACATTGCACACATTATGGCTTAACTACTACAAGTGATGCTGACACTGCCACAGCATATTTANTTAAGTGAATCAACATTGCACACATTATGGCTTAACTACTGCAAGTGATGCTGACACTGCCACAGCATATTCGTATAAGTTTATAAACAAAATAGGATGATGGGTTCACCTTTTCCTCGCCAAAGAGGTAAGCCCTGACGTAGAAGTTGATGAAGAGGGCGAAGAAGATGAAGGCGTACAGGAGCGTCCATAGGACCAGGCTCGTAGGAACTCCTTCACACGGGAACACCAGCAACTGTGCACAATATTTTACTTTATTTTCTAGATAACAAAATAAATGGCGTGAGAATTCTTACTGTGTTCGCATTTTCATTGTTAATTATTTTAGCGTTTAGTAGTGGTGCAATAAAGTAATCATGAATTTTTTTGGATGGAAAATTATTTTATTGGAAAGAAATGGTTTAGAATAAGTACTACTCAATCAATGGTCCGATGACTTAATTCTTAGGCTTGTGCCAAGCAAGATTCTTTACCTATAATTATTGTCAATCAAGATAACTAAAGACATAAAAATTAAACTCTAATGAATGATTCGAAAGCCTATTCAAATAAATTCATCTATGCTTTAGAGCTTGGAAATCTGTTAAATGCCTTTTCAAAAATTTCGGTCAGGCAAAATTATGCTATGACTTCATACATCTCAACAAACAGATATGGTACTGTTAGCACAACTCAACTATATATACACCACGTAATTTTTAAACCTTATGACTCTGCCATCAGATTGATATAACCCATATAAAAATGAATTCTTATACCATAAAAAATTAGTGACGTACTTTGCCGGCCCCATAGCAACTATGTATATGGGTCAAACGCACATTGTACATGCTTGTCGTGAAGTAAGAGAGGCCATGCATACTTATCATGTTGTGACTGCTCTTAGGGGAATAATTTATCATTTTAGGCATGTTGATCATCATTATTATTCGTTACACTGCGCGATCTTGAAGGCTTGCAGACTGACGATGTAGAATTGGTATACTTTGCAGTCATTGAATCTATTACAATAACAAAAAGTTGCCGCGTATTCTCAAGGTTGGATTCATTACACGATATGGGTTTACATACTGGGGTTATCAAACAATAAGTATTAAATATTAAAGGTTTCGATTTTTCAATCCTCATCATTCTATCTGAATGTAATGAGCCAGTGCTTGAATGGATAAAAAATATTCGGAGTTTAACTTCTGCTTCGAGTAATAAATGATCTTTTGCATTATTCACCTGTTTAAGAATTTCCCGAGTTTTTAGAAAATAGAGCTTACCACAAAAGCACAACTAAGTTCAAGGGCTTTTCATTAAATTCGCTTATCAAGTACAAAAATTTACTGATATCTAAATCGGTAGTGCCAGAGTCCTGAGGCCTTCCTATAAAAATTTGATTAGTACATGTTGCGTCCTAAGCACAAGTAGCAACCTAAGTACAAGTAAATGTCCGAGTACATGGATGAGTACTTGAGTACTTAGCCATGAGTACTCTTAGCAGCCGATTTCTCGTCTGGGATTGATGGATTTAGTCTTAGCGGCCGATTTCTCGTCTGAGATTGATGGATTTAGTCTTAGCAGCCGATTTCTCGTCTGGGATTGATGGATTTAGTCTTAGCGGCCGATTTCTCGTCTGAGATTGATGGATTTACTCTTAGCAGCCGATTTCTCGTCTGGGATTGATGGATTTAGTCTTAGCGGCCGATTTATCGTCTGAGATTGATGGATTTAGTCTTAGCAGCCGATTTCTCGTCTTGGATTGATGGATTTTATCTTGGTACTTAATCCTAATCTTGGTACTTGGTAATCTTGGTATTTGTTTGGGACATAGCAGTCCCAGGTCTCGATGGATCGCCGCCTCTGATTATCGTTCATCCGCCCTGATTTGGGCCACCTGATGCACGATGCTGTTGCTTGCTTCTCGCCGCTTCAAAATCCCTCAGTGATTGGCTGAGGTAGTTACGAATTTCTAATATTTATGAGAGTTATACGTCACCAGGATGTAACCTACCTGAGCAGCATGCAGGAAGATGAGGACGAACTGCGTCAACTGCAGCTTGGTGAGGTATCTTTTCCACCAGAGGTATGGCTGCATGCGCGGCCCGAACGCTGCTAGCAGGTAGTACGTGTACATGACCGTGTGTACGAACGTGTTCAAGAAACCCATGAATGTGATGTGGCCGCCTGAAGAAAGAATTTGTTGAGTACGCTGAAAATAACTAATGTTCCAGAATTGTATGGAATAATAATGGGATATTATAAAATTCAGTTCAAAAATGTGAAAATTTTTTGAAGCAACAAATTCATATTTAAAAAAAGCTCATGGGAAATTATTAAAAGCTACCACGAACAAATTTATACACAAATTTAGGAATTATGGTAAGGATGCGATGTATTTATATAGGAGCTGCAAACATTATGGAGGGTGCCATTGATAACCGAAGACTGACTGGCAAAATTATGTGGCAAGGGAAATTGTAAATACCTTATATAATTTAAAATAATAAATATTATTATAGCCATTTTGTTTGAATCTTGAAAATAACAGTTTATTTGAGCCCGAGCTGCTATACTCAGGGCTAGTTGATAGATTGAGTTATTAGTATCAGTTATAAACGAAAGAGCTATTTTACACCAGATCGTGAAATGAAATAACTATTTATACAATTTATTGTTCATGTATGACGCCGACCACTCGATTCGAGCAATTTCCTGTGAGTACCTTTATTCTTGGACGTAAATAAATGTTGATGATGTTGGGCCAACGTAAGAGTTGTCATTTAACTAAAAAATGTTCCCGTATACAAACAAAAAATGAGCTCTCGTCTGTTCGTCCATCTGTCCGGGTCCAGGGTCCAGATTGTGCTTTAATTTAAAGCATCTAGTGGATTGTTCGTCCCAGATCGTCGTCACTGTCAGTCCCGAGTCAGCAGCCCTGGCAAGGATACTTCACCATTCATGAGTAGCATGTTTGTATACAGTGAACAATTCACCATTAACGAATAGCAAGCGTGTTAACAGTGAACAAGTCACACGTCGAGTTCATGGACAGGGTTGGCGTTGCCTGCAACATTGCAGCGCAAGCCAGGCCGTTGTCAACATTCAAATTCGTTGACAACTCTCAAATTCAGTATTATTTCAAGTATGCAAAATATTGAAATTTTTCAAAATAATAGGCGCAATTAGGTGAAAAAATTATCAAGATGTAAGCCTGTACTTTAGGCTTACGTCATTCTTCCTGATCTTATGCACAAAGTAGGACAAGAATTATGCATGCAAAAAGCGAGCGCATTGCTGATGAGCTCCTATGCGGACGTAGATCTTCCTTCGTAATGCATTAACCTATAAACCATTCACTGCTTTCTAGTCAATCAATATTCAGATGATTCAGGCAGAAAGAAGGCTAAAACAAAATTCAAGTGGAAAGAGAAAAAAGTAATGCCTAAATTCATTCAACTCAATTCTCTTTGTGTTCAATTCAGAGCATCATTACACCTTTGTTCACAAATTTTAATATTGTGTGGAGACCATAGCAAATTACTGCGAAATATACAAAAGAAAAACTACGAAATATACAAACTATTCATTTATGTAGTACAATTGAAATAAGTGATATCGCGCTGGAAGGACGAGACTGGAGCTCAAGGCTCTACTTTCACTCTACCCATACGCGGTACAAATGTTAGCGTATAATGGGTATGGGCGTGCCAAGCGTATAAAGCCATCCCAGTGCCGTGTCTCTATTGCAATTGCTATGCATTGGGCACATGAAGCCTGAGATAAGTAATTCAAACATTATACTTTTAAGTCATCGTACAGTTTATTTGCGTTTCAATCTTCGGATCTTTTGATCAAACTATTTGGGCAAACGAAAACTGTAGTTTCAATCATTTAGCATTCATCTGGAACGAAAGACTTCAGTTTTTTAAGACCAATTGATTTGAAGTTGTAAAAGAAATGTCAAATTAAGAAATGAATAATTATCAATTAAGAAACTTAAAAAATGATGCATTTAGAAATTACAAACTTTGAATTAATCCTTACAAACTTTGATAGATGGCAGCCGTCTGTTTAATTTTTTTTTGTCCTATTACTTCACTAGCGAGAGGTCAGCTCAGAAATATTGCGCGAAAAGCAATAAATTCCACAATAGGACAAACAATAAATTCCACGACAGAAGTTTGAGTCTACATATCTGAAAATACAGAGCGTATTATAGATAAACTATTATATGACGTTATATTGAATAAATTGAAGATACTTTGGGGATGGTTTTTCATTGGAGAGCGTATATCGTTTTGAAACTTCTAGTGAATGAAGCCATTCAAAAGTGAGGGAAATAAGAACCCTCCAAACACAAGGTTAAATTAGGAGTGCACATCTTGTGGGACGCTGGCCAGATAAAGATGTGCAAGAGGGGATATTGTATTTATTTGTCATTATTATTATTTTAAATATTTCCTGACAAATATTATATTAAACCGGCAATTTGTCAGGAAAATGCGTATTTATGATAAATCGATAGATGCTTGTAATATGTAATATATGTACGGCTTAGCTGCATGTGTGCAAACCAAATTCCAAGAAGGTGGCCGTACGCACGCAAGAGGGGGCAACCTACACACAAAAACTGGACCGACCGTAGCCCCAGTCGCAAAAAGTCTCTCGTTACACACACTTTCACCTTTCACTGGGCACTGAAAAAATGATGACCTTCACATGTCTCCGTAAGTCGGTCACCAGAGTCGGTCGAATCGATTTGGTAATTTAGCAACATTTTTTTTTGTTACCCTCAGTGCGATCCTTAAGTCGGTCAAACGACAAAAAGTCGGTCGTCACCAGGAAATGCATGATGCAAGATTCAAAATAAGGTAAATATATACATGAGGGCACATGGATTGCCATGACGGATAAATGATAGACTCTGCCATCTCGAGCGTAGTTCTGTCTTGGTGTATACGTGCCTCTAAATTGCATGTTTAATTGCTAATTATTACAAATTACTAGTTTAAAGGAAATTTCACGCACATTTCACGATCACGTAAAAAGTCTGTGTTGAATTCGTTAGTCGAATAAATGGTAGTGAAAATAAAATAAATTTGAAATATGATATACGGTTATACGGTATCGAAACATGAAACATGTTTTTTGCACTAAAATGATATTATAAGATATCAGTCTAGCTAAAATGGCGATAATAGTTCATTACTCACCTGGAGTGTGATGGATGCCGAACCACATAGACATGAACATGCAGCTGTGGTGGATGACATGCAACATTGTCACTTGACTCAGTTTGCCTCTGAGGATGAACAGGGCCTGCGCAACAAAAAATTCACTTTGATTGTACTTGTAATTTTATAAGTTTCAAACTGATTGTGAAGGAGTTGGTCTCTGAATCGTTTGCAATGAAGATAAGGTGATTTTACGCAACGTTTTAATTATTTTTTTTTCAACACTGGTGAAAATTAGCGACTGATTTCGTTCCTCTGGCATGTCACTATACCCTTTGTTTCGTGTACTGGGTACGATTTAAAGATGAGATTTAAAAAGATAATAGGCGACTGGTTAATATCTGGGATTATTCATAGCAATTTCAGTGTTTAATATTGTAAATTTTAATTATGGAATACGGTAACGATTTAGACCTAAAACATATATAAGTTCAGTACAAAAATTTGTACATTTTAATAAAATGGAACAATTACTGTAATCATAGAATTATTATTATTAGTTTTTTTAATATCGATCCGAAAATAAGCATCATTTAAAGATTTTAAATTGGATACGTGAAAGTCTTGACCATTAATAACGTTGCTTCATTTGATAATTACTCTCAGCAGCAACCTCGAGAAGACGTTTAATGATGCGCTTAAGCCTTTCGCTGTCACTGGATCACCTTGACCTAGCGTTAACCGGCCAACAGATGGCGTGCTGCTCGTGTCCCTTAGCGACTCATTGACTTATAATCTCTTAATGATCCACTTCCTTGCTAGTTAATTTGGTGACTTTAGTTCCTGATTTCTCCTCAAGATAACAAATTTCTAGCTACTCTTTAGTTGTTACGATTTTACTGTAGAACCGTTGCTCTATTTTTATACCAAAGTTTCGTTCAATTTTTTTTTTCAGCTCAATTAAGCAAAAATCTTCTCGAAATTTTCCGCTCGTATGTCACATACGCAATATTCTATTCCATGTATATTTAATAAAATTATATTCATAACTACACTACTTCGATTTTTCAGCGTCGTTTACGTGAAATTATGTCATTTCCAGCATGATTTTATTAGCGTTAAATCTATTTTTGATCCAATTTTAACCTCTGCCTCTTAATTACTACTGATTTGACCTTTTGAAATTATAGTGAGCTTATTGCATATTTATTATCTATATATATTATAGTATTATATAGCATTTTTGACCTAATGAAATTAGAGTGAGAAAATAGCATATTAATTATCTAAATATATTATAGTATTATATAGCATATTTGCCCTAATGAAATTATAGTGCTACACTTAGAGAAATGAGTCTGACTTCATACAGGGTGAACCAGAATTAAGTAACCCTTTTAATTTGTTAATAAATAAAAAACTAAGAACGTTATGAAGTTGAAACTTGTTTTATTTAAAAGAAGAACATTTTTATGGTAATATTGTTTCCTAGTTTTTAAATATAATATATTTTAAATGCCCACCACAATTGTTTTGACAAAATAGGGCTCTTCTCTTCGTTGCTTTCATAACCTTCATCAGTAATTTCCCAGGTTTCCGTAAATTTTCGATAAAGAGATTTAATTGCTTTTTTTGGAGGACTGATTCTTGGTTTGAAACGGATCCTGTAATCACGTTGAACTTCTGTTATTGACATCGTCCTGATGTAGGTTTGCAGAATTTTCGTTCTTTCTTCTTTGCTGTAGCGAATGATGATGAAAATTTAAGGCTTGATAATTAAACACAAATTTAGCAAGCTATACAGGATAATGACGTAACTATGATACCTACAATATTACCATAAAAATGTTCTTCTTTTAAATAAAACAAGTTTCAACTTCATAACGTTCTTAGTTTTTTATTTATTAACAAATTAAAAGGGTTACTTAATTCTGGTTCACCCTGTACAAACAGTGACGCACTTGAGCCCTGGTCAGGGTTATCCAGACCCAGTTCGGCATAGCAACAGGGTGTAGCAGTGCAACTTTTGCTTTCTGCTCGTGCTCTGGGTAATACAGTGTGTCAAAATTTGGACTATAATATCCGCTCAGTTTCTGAGTGTATATTTGTAAAAGCGGAGCACAAATGTTAGCTTTTCAATTATGATTCAAAGTGACATGCGCCGGGGTTACACAAAATAAGGGAAGCACCTGAGAAATCCACCATATATATTTCAGTTTTATTTAGGTCCACCTTTAAATTAAAATTGAGACAATTAATTAATTGAGGCAATTAAAGTGTCTATTTTCATACAGACATTCATATTATTTGTTAATTGTTTACAAAGGAATTTTAACACATTCTTCAGTTAAAAATCACTCCAGCTTTTTTAGTGACGATGGTGGCGCGAACCGACTTCTGACTTGCATCTCTAAATTCGTCCATAAATGCTCGCTAATATGGTGAATGTAGTGGCCAAATGAGATGCTCAACTTCAGTAGAATGTTCATTGTATAAATTTTTATCAACTTCAGCTGTATGGATCAGAGAATTATCAACTTGAAAGATGGCGTTCTCCTCCGGAAACAGTGCTTGAACCATTGAATGAACTTGGTCATCCAAAATTCCTAAACAGTCACGGCTGTTTATTCTTCCTTGAAGATAAATCTTGGTCCTCCGGATTTTCAAGAAATAGCATCTGCAGATCATTACAGATGCCCTGTCGTGTTTTATTGTTGGGAGGAGGCAGTCGTGATTAAATTACTCTTTTAGCTGTCTCCAAAGGTACAGTTGGCCAGAGGTTGAAAATAAGGTAAACGATGATTCGTCAGAGAAAATCACGTTTTTCCGCTGTTCGAGGGATCAATTCTGTAGATTTTTACCCCCACTATAAACGCCGTAAAACATTTGTATTTGAAGCCAGAGGTTTTCTAACAGCAGCTCTTAATTCCATAGAATCCAGATCTGTGCAGCTCTCAGCGGACAGTCTTTATGGAAACTGGGTTCTTTATAGGTGTCCATTGAGGTTTGCGGTAATTTTAACAACTGTGGTATTTTGATTATCCCTCACAATTTGATTTAGGTACCGACGGTCTCTCTTAGAAAACGTCGACTTTCGGAAAGACCTGTGCTTTTCTGAGGATGTTTTTCCTTCTCTTTCAAAAGCAGTCATTACTTTTGAGACAATACCTCAAGAAAAGTCAAGCATTCGGGAAGTTTCTATCACACTAACACCTGTCATATGGGCACTAACAATATGGCCTCTTTGAAATTCAGAGAGGTTTGCCATTTTATAGGTTATAGTTTAAGTTATGGACACAAAAATTTACTGAAAATATCTTTGCAAAGTTAGGATATTAATTAGCAGCAACAACAAAACATAAAATATGTCACGTTTTCATTGTTTATAACATGTTCAAACATTATGATATCATAATGTCAGGTGTTTTTTTATTTTGTCCAACCCACGTAAATAAATCTCAGTATTTATAAATTTGGTGACTTTCAAGGTTACGATCGAGTTTGATTTATATGACCAAACAGTGAGGTTTTTTGTATTGGTTAACATGACAGTGAACAAAACTCATTTGATACATTTCAAACTTGTACGTCAATTAAACACAATTATTTTTTGCTTCAGACAATTATGAAAAATCGCGCATTTTATTCGCAAATTAGCAGAGAAATTTACAATTTTGCATCTTATTTTGAATTGCTCAGCTTCCTTTTAGCTTGTAGGAGCTCTTTTAAATCTGCCGTCTCATCCCCACAAAATTCAAGGGCTCTCTGTAGACCATCATGATTCTCGTTTTTAGTTGTCGGTACACATTTACATGATTATACGACTATAAAAATATCAGTAAATGCGGAGTAAATGCTAATTTTTACTTACCGTGTCGACGAAATCTAGTAGTTTGGAGAGGAAGAACCAATGAGCCACTCTGGTCATCTGGAAATAGGTCGAAAAAATTTGAATCAGGAGCGTAATCAAGAAGAGTGAGACAGGGCAACTATATCTGTCGCCCTGTATAAAAAAATTAAGACAATTTCTGTGCCGTTCCGAAAGAAAAATGAAAAAACATATAAGCCAAAATAGTTTAAATGAGTTGCGTTAATATTCAGTATCGAAAAAATTATTCGTTACCATGCAGCGTTCGCAATTCGACCAAAGTCATCCTCTCAAGCAACGTAACGAGCCACCGCAGGTCATATAATCTCTCTCATTATCTCCGACAGAGTATTTTTCATATTTTTCGCTGAGTCATGAAACTGGTTTAGAGGTTGTGATATTTCAAGCTCTGAAGGTTATCGTAACACAACAATGAGAATCGTATTTTGAAATTTTGCGAACTGCAGCTCGCCGAAACCTTGGTTGTTGTGAAGGCTCCGCTCTGATTGAGGCCCAATCCGCAAACACGGACGGGTTCTCTGGTCAGGCAAAGTTCTTGACAGTATTTGCTTTGCTGCATTTTTAACTCATTAACGTTGAAAATTCTAGATTCTTCGATTTTTTGAAAAAATATGATCAAGTTTGAAAAAGTTGTCTTTAAGAAGTGTTTGTAGGCTTGATAGTCACTACATTTATTAATGAAACCACTTTAGACTTCGATACTATATATGGCGTTATGGTCGTATTTGATGTGGTACTATTTTATTCCAGTCATTACTCACCCTGACGGCTTTGTTACTCAGTGAGTAATCGCAAGGCTGGCAGGATGGTCTATAACTCCCCTTGACGCCTATTACTCAATCCTATTACTCACCCTGACGATTAAATTACTCACCCCTGACGCCTATTACTTAACCCTATTACTCACTCTGACGCCTATTACACAACCCTATTACTCACCCTGACACCTATTCCACAACCCTATTACTCACCCTGACGCCTATTACTCAATCCTATTACTCACCCTGACGCCTATTACTCAACCCTATTACACACCCTGACGCCTATTACTCAACCCTATTACACACCCTGACGCCTATTACTCAACCCTATTACTACCCTGACGATTAAATTACTCACCCTGACGGCTTTGTTACTCAATGAGTAATCGCAAGGCTGGCAGCGATAATTGTAGTCGAAGAACCAACCCACAAGTCCTGTCTGTGGGCACAGAAATATCTCTTTTTGAATTATCGTGGATTGTTAAAAAATCGCAATCAACAGACAAGGCCAAATAAACGAGTGGATGATAGCACTTGTTTTTTTTTATTATCAGTTATCAGTGTTTGCTTAACTTTTCCTAGTTAATAGCCATCATAACAGTTTCAATTATAGGCGATTCATTTAGTTTCACTAACCAGCGGTTTCTTATAAGACTACTTTATATTATAATTGAGCAAGATCGCAACTATTGATAGCATGTATTTCCAATGGCTTCTTGGATGAATTACGTTCATTATGATTAACATAAAACCTCAGTCATAAAACCGTCAACATAAACATAAAACCATACCGTCTTAAAATAACCATAAACGAAGTCGCTCTAAAATCTAGTCTACGCACTCCTCCCTAAAATGAGCGCAAATAATAGCAAATAACGAGCCGAAATTATTAGAACGTAAATCAAAGTGTTTAGATAAACAATTATATATGACCTCTATTGAATTAAGATTAAGGATGATTCGAGCGGAGATCATCTTGGAGGTGACTTTAAAACAGCACCATTACATATGGATGAAATAATATAGTTTAATTATCATTTTTTAAACGAATGATAGAACTTTCAAATAAAACTAACAACATTGAACTAATTATTTCCACTATTTCCTCTTAATTGATCTGGACTCACCTCAACGAACATGTACAAGGAGAAGACCACCTGAAAAAAGTTGTAAGCGATCATGACGCCTTTGAGCTGCATGGGCTTCCTCCCCTCCATCCACCTCGGTCCCCAGACCACCGACGCCAGGATGTAAGTGACAGAAATTACAAGCATGCCTATTGGGTTCTCTATTAAGAGCCATCCTTTAACTCTGGGGTCTAGGGGGAAGTCTTTGTAGGCATAAGTTCCGCAGGCGATGCCCATCATGAGGACGAGCAGCGGCGTTACGGCCGCATTGTACGTGCCAAGTCTGTTGTTGGTCTCGACTTTGTGTTTGGCGGGCGGGAGTTGTTCTGCAATGAGGAAAATCTGTTATCAGTGGGTGTTATTGACCGAGATGAGGGCAATATAACTAAAAAATATCTAAACACAGTTGTTCTGCAATGAGGAAAGTCTGTTATTAACGGGTGTTATTGACAGAAATGAAAAAAAAAACTAAAAAATATCTAAACGCAATTGTTCTGCAATGAGGAAAATCTGTTATTAACGGGTGTTATTGACTGAGATGGGAACAATGTAACTAAAAAATATCTAAACACAATTGTTCTGCAATGAGGAAAATTTGTTATCAATGGGTGTTATTGACTGAGATGAGGGCAATGTAACTAAAAAATATCCAAACACAATTGTTCTGCAATGAGGAAAATCTGTTATCAATGGGTGTTATTGACAGAGATGGAACAAAATAACTGAAAAACATATTTTTAAAGTATTCTGCACAGACAAGATAATTTTATAGAAATAGGCGATTTATTAAAGATAAACATTGCACGAGAAGCTTCACTGCGGCGCTTGAATGATAAAACATAACCCGGAAAGAAGTTTGTGTTATGGCAGTCAGCTTAAAGAATTCAAAAAATTTAAAAATGGAGTAAGGAATTATTATTTAAAATTTGTTTTTCAAATTGAGACTTTTTCTCGAGATTTGCATCTGAAGAAGCAAATCCTAACACATTTAAATTAAAATGCTGAATTTTGAAACAAGAGACCAAGAAAGGTGATTACATTTAATATTTCCTCGACAGTAGCTTAATAACTAAAGCTACATCTCAAGCATTCCCCAGCGCATACAACAAGTGAAAGATTTAAGAAATTTAGAATTATTTTTCGCATTCCTCAATACTACACAAATTCGGAATGAATTTCTCTTTATAATATTAAAATTTATCACCGCGAGTTCACTTCAATCCGGAACTCTGCCTGAAGTTGATTTTGAACGCCGCTCACGATGTTTCCTGGCTAGCGCGAGTTACTCATAATTCATATGTTATCAGATCAACGTACTTGCTATTCGCAACGCGTAGGAAATGCTGGATGTGGTATATTTAATTAATTAATTAATCCAATTTAATAAAATCTCCATTAAGGTCATCATAACCATCCTGACTTTTTATTTTTTTTATAAATTGTACCCATTGTTGATAGGAATAAAAAAAATTTCAAATAAAAACTGTATAATGTCATAATAGAACTCTACGGAAGAACCATCGGCCTGTTCAGAAAGAATTATATCAACGTTGCTAGCGGCCTTGTTTAATTGGCAGACATAAGTATAGTAGAGGCCTTGTTTATTGGCAGACGTAAGAACGCCAGGTTTGATCGGTATACGTTCAGTAATAGTTTAGCTACCGGTCTCTGTTGTGGCCATCAGGTGCTGGCTCCGGTATACTCTCGCCTTCGAAGCTTCCGCTCACTGCCTTTTGGTCGGATTGCGTTAACAGAATTCAGTGTTGCTGAGAGAACAAGTCGGCTGACAGGTTTTTCCAAATTCCGGCCTTAATAACTCAGTGTTCGTATATGAATAACTGGACTAGGCTTCACTCAGTAATTCTTTCTGGAAATGTTCGTCACACTCCGTAATGTTCGTCACTCCATATTCGCAGCATTCGTCGCACTCTAGTCCCCAATTTCCTGCTATTCGTTATCCGTCGACCTCAATATTTACTAGAATTTGAAACAAGAACCAACACCAGGAGCCGCGGCTATAAACTAAAAAAACTGCTCTGTAACTTATCCACGCGACATTTCTTCTCGCTTCGAATTACCGACATGTGGAACAGCCTCCCCGATTACATCGTTGGCGCTCCGAGTATGAACGCGTTCAATAACAGACTAGATAAAGCTATGGAAAACTATGGTTCAGCCTTGAAATGCCTAGCACCATATCGAACCCGGTGCAAGTCTAGTAGCTACTTCAAACTATCGTCAGTCATGAAAAGATCCGGTCAAATGACGCGATTTTAGATCTTCTGTGAACAAGTAACGAAAAGTTCCTGAATCGGCGACAGNCAGGAATGCAGAGATGTTAATAATTACCTAGAAAGTGGCGTGTCGCATATTTCCGCTTCAATGCTGAGATAGATTTTATGTGCTTCGTTGCCTATATTCCTTATACATAGAAATTTTTATTTGATTCAGAATTTTCGATAGGCATAGACTATAATCTTAAAATTTGTTTAGATTTTTTAAGCTAGACATCATGCTATCCAACCGGTACGTTCATCAGTGCCTATTTAATTGGCATTCATATTAATTGATCCGAATGTGGGATCAATATAATATAAAATTTTACAAGCCAAATAAATACTTTCCAACATTATTTTCCTGAGCCATAAATTGCCATAAATTTGCTGCATCTTTATTACATAGGAATATTTAACGTCTCGACATCGTCTAATTTGCCGACCAATGTACCGCTATACGTAATTACCGCCGTCAACTTGAACACTGATAAGGAGGCTCCTTCCCTACATCCTTTATTGTGACAACTTTCTTCAGCCTCGACATAGTTTGCGCAGTCCTTTGCATTCCTTGGACTGGATCACTTATTATGGGCACAGTTATACAGATTGTTTCACTCTAAAAACCATGGAATATTTAATACTCTTATTTAGTTATTTATTTGGTTATTATTTATTTATTTAGTTATTTAGTTCAGACTGCCTTTAGTGTAAAAGACGTTTAGTATTCTACTTGTCTTCCGCATCAAATGACTCAATTATTATGCAGCCACACTTTATGATTCGTGCTATAAGTTTCAAATATGTCATTTGATCAGCTAAATGATTGAGTATATTAACTAAAATATATGTAGTTTCATTTATTTTCTTGTGTCTTTATCAGCAAGCGCGATATTAGCTCAATAGTAATTCCTTATGTTTGTCTGATTATTGCTCTAAGCTGACGTTGGTTCTGTACTGTACTATTCTTGAATTTTGTCAAGTTAACCGTAAGTGCAAAGATTAACATAAAAATATAACTCAGTACTCACTGCAGTGAGTGACACAGAGCGCATTTTCTCGTCGACGAAAACTTGAGGTCACGGACGGACAGACGGACGGACAGACAGACATACGGACATGGCGAGCACAATAGTGCATTTTTTCCATAAATGAGAAAATGCGCTAAAAATGGGCCACACTTAAGAAATTGGTTTGTTCAGTTAAAGCTTTGAGTGGTAAATGTTTTTTCAGTTTTTTAGGACTCGAAATTTCCGTATGTTTCTTGCCGCATAAAATCCATAAACAGATTTAAGCTCTAACAGATCTAAGTTCTAAGTACATGTTTGGCTTAGTTATATGATTTAAAAAGCTTAGATGGGCTCATGGCTTCAATTAAGTTGATGCAAATGCTTGCGAGTTTTAAATGTTTTGATTTGTGCATGACAGGTTAGTTCAGGAAAGATTAAAATTGTAATAAAATTATGATGTTTACTAAAGAATTTTAGATACGATTAAAAAAGTTCAGAGTTCTTGCCGCGATTGATACGAAATAATAATGCAATTTCAACATCAGTGCTCGTCCGAGTTCCGCATTTGGCCACAACGAAACACGGAATCACTCGGGGTTCCGATTCATGGATATGAACTTAATTGTTCGTAAGAATCGAGTTCGTCGAGGTGTGATTGCTGCTTAATGATATGATGCTATGATATATAAAGAGCCTGCAGCTTTAAACATGGACATTGCGACATGGTGGATCAATCGGTCAGTCAACCCTCAGGGTGACGCTCGCCAATTACAAAATAGAAACCGGTAGAACGAACATCCTCTTCAAAATTATATGGTTCAACGTTCTTTGGCGCATTTTGGACTGAGATGCATTTAGCACAATGCTGGTGTGTATTTTTTAAGGCATAGTAGAATTTTTAAATTTAGCTTGGTATTCGTTGCTAATGATTCTGAATTTTTAAACATGAATCGTCTTTCCTCCCTACAGCACTGAAGCTATGTTTACGTAAACCCCAAATTTTCCATGATCAGTGTTGGATTTTTAATCACCGTTTTAATCACCGTTTAATCGTCGTTGTTTCATCAATAATGCTGCATTAATAGGGCCACCATAGTTTTTCCCCAACTTTAAATCGCGTACAGGATATTAGTGTGCAGAAAATTCTCGGATAAACTGAACTCTTCCATGTGTGCGAGAGTTACACCGCAACTGCAGGATGCGCTCTCCTGGGTACCAATCGCGTGGTCGGCGTTTGTTGTGAAAGGTCTTGTCTCTTAGCGCTAAAATTCCAGGCAAAGCTGCCAATGACGCACATCTCTTAGCTTACAACTTTCCCGTCTATATATGAACTTAGGGTACATCTGATTACTGAAGCTGCGCTTAGAGAAACGGGTAAGACTGTCATAACGGTCATGTATTTTTCCCCATTTGCGTGGGTCATCCACATGCGTGGGTCATCGTGGGTCCTAAAGTAAAAAATATATATCAGTGTTTAGCACAAAATGTTGTCTTGGATACATCTGATTACTAAAGCTGCGCTTAGAGAAATAGGTAAGACTGTCGTAACGGTCATGTAATTTTCTCCCCTTGCGTGGGTCAACCTGACCCAGTTTGGTATGGCAAAAAACAAATCAGTACAAAATGTTTGCCACTATTTGGATAATATTACCCATGCATTCTTCTGGGGTAGTCATCGAAATACATACCCCATCTTGCCGCTTTCACGAGGCAAGAACTCTGAACTCTGTAATCATTTCAGCTGAACTCTAGGTACCTCAGATTACCCTAGTTGGTGGTCGCATTAATATTTATATTATATAATGTAGCGCTGGCAATTGTTCTCGGTGTGCAAGCAGGAAAAAATGCAGGGTTGAGGGAAGATTTTAACTAATACTTGGTGGCAAAACGTGCATGATGACTCAGCAGCGTGACTGTTCGATTTTTGAATTAGTACGAACAATTAAATTGATTGGACAATTTACTCAAAAGTTCTCAATTTTCTGAAGGATGCCATCAACACGTACGTAAAGAAAGACATACCTATAATTTTAATCTGGAAAGTAGTTTACAGTTATTCATAATATGAAAGCATACCAACATACAAAGCAGCAACATCGCGAGTGCAGAATTAATATATTCAATTATATTTCTGTTCGTTTCAATATACCTGCCGAAACAATTCCTTATCCAGGTCAAAAGATGTAATAATAAAAGCATTCATTAATCTATTAACGATAGCTTTGATTGGAATTTCTTTTGATCTGAATAATGAATTTTTCATTAGCGGTGCGTGCAAAACGTTACGCACCATATGACGAGTACATGAAACAAAGTACGTTAAACTCACCATACATTATTTTAAAGAGAAAAATCAAATATATTTTACCTGTGATATAAACCAACAACAAATAATAAAAATTTGTCTCGCTACTAGAATTACCACTATAATCATTGATTATAAGGCTTGATGAATTTATTACTTAAATTAATGTGGTTATTACGGTTAATGTTTAACTGATCTCGCACTTACGTCTGCCGCAGGGAGCTACGAGTTGGTCCCAGCTCATCTGGCTTCTGTCGCCGGTGTTGTTCGGAGCCATGCCGAAAATTTAGTAATTTTCTGTAGAAAAGAGTCCTTAAGTTCACGGAATTTCCGTGGCTACACTTAGAGCCTTAAAAGGAACTCTATCCGAGCACGTTACTCAATGTGTCAAACACAGATCATATTTGGTTATTTTTCATCCACACTCTGATGCATGAATATGCTGGTGGCTGTCTACACTTGGTAATTTCTGATGCCCCAGATGTTTTGGTGAATGTCTGGTTTGGTTTTTATGAGTAGTAAAAATCAAGGCACTTCCTAGTTTCACTAACAAAGTTTTTTGTTGTTACAGGTCAAATCTTAGAACGCCGATGGTCTACACAGGTGGGTTGGTTCTCTTAGGTTGCTTCCGTTATTTAAATTTTTTCAGTTCACTTGTTGACTCCGGATGTAAAATTTAAGAACTACGGAAACACCAAACGTCTAGGAATTAGTTTGATTTTTGAAAATTTTATCAAGTTGGTATTTTAAAATTTTACTATATAATCAATTATAAATTATTTCAGGTTAACAGTAGCTGAAAAAGATTAGAGATTAAATTAGTATGAGGGTTTATCGTACTTTATCATACGGACGAAAACCGAACGTGAAATGAAATATAATTTAACTATTGAATAACAAAACATAGTTCTCTTGTCAGCGCTACATTAAAAAATAGCCATTATAAGCAATATTCAATCATATAGGTAAGGAAAATCGAACAAAATTACGGAATATAGTTGCATTTTTGTAACTCTGGAGCTGATCGAATAATTATCAATAAACATACCCTATCAGCCAAATTGCTGCCGGCCGTTTGCCATTGACAACATGACTGTCGAGTCTTAATATATTATCAATAAGTATTTATATCGCAATGTTACTTTAAATTGAGTGTCGTGAGCGAGGTATACTTCGATCATGCTGCTCTTTTTACAAATTTTGCGAATTCGCTTGTGTTAAATTTGGTGGTCAACCGTTTAAGAAATCAACGCTTTTCATGGAACTTACTTACGTGGACTACCCACGTATGTAGTAAAGTTAAGTGAAGATTTTTATGCTGTAAGACCTGTTCCTGTAGCCTTGCGGTGTGGCCGCTGCTCGTCTGTGCTTGTGAAAGTGATTGCAATATCTAATGTACTAGTGCCATGCTAATGGACGGGTAGACTAATGAGTGTAAGGAACCCAGGAAACTAAGTACAGGTAATAATGGAAACACTAAGGAACAATTAAAGTGCTTAGAAGCTGAGTGAGCATTTCCAATTGAATAGTTTTTGCTTATAGGCAATGCTGAAGGAAATAATCATTTTGACTAAAATGAGCTGGCAGTAACGACACTTTCGAATCATCTTTGAATACGACTTCACTTGCAGCATTAAAACATATAATATTGAATAATAAATAGTAGCTGCGCCTTAACTTGTCATACTAAAAGAAGTTTACAAAAATTTACGCTCATTAATAGTGCCAAAACGATCTTATATCCTGAATTGTTGAGTTGTTTATTGCAAGTGATAGTCCGATACACTATGCGTGGTACACGTACTATACTCTTCATAACTTGAGTTATTAAGTGCAAGTGATACTCAGATACACTATGTGGCACACTCTGCTAATTATCACTGGAGTTGTCTAACATTTTGCTTGCACTTGACAATACAAGTTTTCTATAGCGAGACAACAAGCAGGCAGCTAGGCGTGACCGCTAAAAGACTTCGAGCACCACTTGCTCAAGGAAGTTGCTGCCTCTAATGCCATCGTTGGCACAAGGCTTTACTGAGGTTTCGTAATTTCTAAAAAAATTAAGCATTCATAGAGCTTCATGGATTCTTCACTAACCATTCCGAGATTTCATACTATGAAGTAATTTTAATTAACTGCTTAAACAGTATCGCGATCTTTGTTCCTATATAGATAAATAGGCAATGTTCATTGTACTTTTGTTATAGAGCAAAACCACTCATTCCATTGATGAGTTTTCAGCTCCTATGGCTATATTCGTTGCCACGTAACTTCTTAAACCTTGAAATAAATTGTGATTCATATTTTGTTAGTTCGACCACAGGATTTTTTAACGAGTACATTTTTTCGCGAATCTTTTTTTTACGAGTACAGGAACAAATGCTAAATATTTCTTTTAAACATTTTACTTTATTATTGATTGATTACTGTAAATAATAATGAATAATTTTTGAAAAACATGGCAGTGTATTGCAGTAATTTTACATTTATTTTAGTCACTGCAAACACGGTAGATTATTTGAGCGGGACTACTTTATTGTGTTCAGTCCGATTGCACAGAAACCTCTTCTTCAAATTACAACAGAAAATCATTTTTTGTGTGGAAATATTTAAATATTCTGGAACTTTTATTTTTTTTATCAAATTATGGTCATCAGCCTTGAAATTCAAAAAATGTTAAGGATGTTACTTCACAATTCTAGGTTATTATTGAAAAGAATAGCAATACACTTTGCTAGGAACCGGTTAGAACATTATGAATTTAACGAAAGTGATTAATAACTAAATTACTCATTTTTTTAACCTTACTTTACTTTCACGTTCAGTGTTATGAAATTTTTATATTATCACAATATATTTACAGAATTTGCTATCACTAAAACTAAATCCATCACGAAATTCCTACTAAATATTGCATATAAACGTAAACCTAATTTCATTCGCTGTTCGTTTTGATGAGACGCCCGAGGCGCGTATATACGCAGCCTCTGTAAGCTCACGAGGAAATTTTGTTCAATATCTCAATTTTACAATTTCTGATCCTCATATTTACTCTTTACCCTTTGCTCTCGTAACCATTTATGATGGTAATGAGAGTTACCGCTCGTAGCCAGAGGGTTGAAGCTGAACATAAATCTATGTCAATCGACAGCAGTTTAGTTTTTTGAAATAGACTATCATTTCTATAAATAGGAAGCCGTTTTGTTAAGAATTACATTAGAACCTGGTTAATGGCCACTGCTGTGTTGTAGCTAAGATACAACTTGCAATACACCTGAAGGATTACATATAAGTGTCATACCCCAATATATTTGTCACGATATTATAGTCACGTACAGTATTTTTTTCTTGAGCACCACTGCAGTTATATTTATTAATTATTTTAATTATGACGGGTACATGATTGAGATGCGAGAGCAACGAATTACGATGTTAAGATAAGGGAAAAATTTCTTAATGTTCTTTTGGATCGTTATTTTAATTTTTTCCTGCTTGCACATGTAAATCGATTAACATATTTATAAATCAGCCAATCGGAAATAGAAAAAGATTTTTAATTTTTGGTATATTCATCAATCAGTCCAGGAAAACAGGAGGAACAACAGGAGTCATCAGTCCTAAGGAACAACAGGAAATCCGTTGTCCTCAGTTTGATAAATTATGGATATTCTCATATAAAATTAGCTCTTGATTAGTTTAAATATTAAGTAACAGATAACTTCCTCGTTACTATTCTTAGATGATGAAACGCGCAATCGCTTACAACGTGTGAGTAACTATACAGAAAAATCAATACAAGGATGCACAGGGAACAAAATTATGACGAGAATAAGCAATTTACCACAATAGTGATATAAAAATAAAAAAATTTACCACAATAGCGCTATAGGAAATTATTGACTCATTCGCACAATGCTATTTTGTGTCACTATTTTGCTCAATAAGTAAGAAATACTGAAAGTTTTTCAAAAATGCCTCAAAATGCTGAAAACACTATTATTAGTGAATAAATTATATTCATTCGCATATCTCCGCTCTCGATGTTGATTTTTCCTTCAAAAAATTTGACCGTTTATGATAAGAGAAACCTCTTCCGATTCATAAATATTTTTGAATATGATTTTCACCTTATACGGTTAAACAACTATAGGATATAATATTGTAATAATAATAAGGCTATTGTAAATAATAGCCAAGAAATTTCTCAATTTTCTTAATTTTGCAGCACTGTTCCATTGAATGCCGTACAGAGACTCACGATCTGTACAGAGCAACTTGAGAGCTCACACCTCGGGCATGGCTGCCTTCAGTCTGCCGTCGGTTGCTTCTTCGTCTCTGATGAGATCAAGTGTGGTGACTTGCATCTCTGCAGACGCTCTAACTTCTCTGTGAAATTAAACGAGCTTCGGGACTTCCAGCCCTAATCCGCATATTTTTTCCCTCGCGTGGGTATTATGTAACCAGGTCTTCGCAATAAGAAGCCTATCGAACTATCGAATAGAATTTATTGATGCATATGCTGATGAGGCAGCATGGGCATTTGTCCGACAGCTGTAATGACTGATAGAACTCTTGTTCACTCGTAGCCAAAAATATGCTGCTTATTGCCATGGATGTGTAATTAGTTTGTGCCAAATCCGCTTCTGTGCTCATTGATTGTATTAAAGTTCAGCTCGGTAAGCAACATTATAATTGGAAGCTTTACAGAACGAATGCTATATCTTGCGATTACTGATGTCGAGATACATGTCAGCAATCTTATATATAAAATAATTGAATCCTGATATAACACATCTAAAATTGGTCTCAATTGTACTTAAAGCATAAATAGCACTCGAGTAGCTCATTTTTTTAACCATACACCTGATTAAGGATACAGTCTGTAAAATAACTTGAAATGAATAGCTGTTTAGTACGCCGCTCACTGGACAGGAATGCGTTTGCCCGCTCGTAATTTCGATATATTTTTCGTAAAATTTTAGGATTGATTAAAGCTGAAAATACGAGTCTATCTCCGCTTATTATCTCGCTGCCAGAATCATTAGACATTGAGAAATGTTACGAAATGTTACTCGCTTTACGTGTCCTTGGAAAGAGAAATAATGAAGTAGTTTTTTAAGGCTTATGGCGCGTTCTTGCACAATGCACTCAACTTCGTCTGTGGTGAAAGGGACAGTGAAATAAGGAAGAGTTTCCTAAGGTTTACCATGTGTTGGACGTACCACATGTGACGCGCACATATGAAATTAAAATCACTTGGCTGCTTAAGTCGCAAATTTACCAGGAATTTAAAAGTAAAGAAAATAGCCAAAAAGTTCACCATTTCTTATAAGAAATGGTGAACTTTTTGGCTATTTTCTTTACTTTCAAATTCCTACCATATGACATGAACTCATGTAGAATATATTGCGCCGCGCAACGTTCTTGTTAATGGTTCGCACTATTATTCATGCATAAACTGAAACTTAACCCAATCGTGGGTAACATTGAAATTTTTTCGACCTGTTTTCTGTACAAGATTCACATGCGCACTAGATATTTTTTGTTGAATTGACATTATTTAGTATATTTGAAATAAATTAGGTTTATGCGTATAAAAAGCTGTCCTACACATTCACTAACTAATCTGAACTTGCATTTAACTAATTATTTTTTGCTAAAAATGCTGATCGTATGATGAAGATTATTGAGCCGTCGTTATATCAGTCTTGATTCTCATTCGATCATAAAAATAATCAATTATCAAGCAAGAGTTCATTGTGAA